CAACTGCAGCAGCACTCCGAGGAATTCAACGCCCCTCCCCCACTCTTCCCTAACCCTCCCCTCCACCTCCATTACCATATCAAAGCCCCGAGTTCAGAGCAAGACTTCTCTTTCAAGAATGGAAGCAAGGCATCAGGAGGGAGGAGGAGGAGGAGAGGACAAGACCGCAGCGCCAGGGAAAGGCCTGAGCTCCAGCTCGCTTTTATCCCTGCTGTTCGGTGTAGGACAGAGAGAGAGTGAGACAGAGGCAGACACACCGAGACTGTAGAAAACAGATGTAAAGACTACTGATCAGCACTACAATCATGTGCAGTAGAGGAGGCTGCCTTCCTTAATTCACATTCCAGAGGCAGGAGATAAAAGCAGCGGGGAGTCTTGGAGAAAAACAGTGCAGGTATATATATATATACACACACAGAGAGCTGGGAAGGAGGTGGGGGACGTGCTGATCACCATGATGGACACCATCCACCACCACACAAGTACACTCAGGCCCCGTCCACACTACTGCGTTTTCGTTTAAAAACGGAGACCTTTTGCTACGTTTGCACCTCCCATCCACACTAAAACGGCAAAAACGGAGACCCAAAACGGAGAAGTTTAGAAACGCTGCCTATCCGTTTTTCGTTTTGAATCTCCGGAGGGCGTTTTAGTGTAGACGGGTCAAGACGGAGGACTTTAGAAACGATGACGTAGTAGAGGCTCACGCTCGGCTCTATGATCGGGTGTCATCAGTCATGGCGTATATCTTTGCTAGCAGCTGTTGTACAAGTAAATTCTGCATTTTACAACGCTATAACTGCCTACATGCGCCGGAGTCAAGCTATTATTCGAGCGATCTGTGACAATTCCCGTGTGCAGCGGCGGCGTTGACCGTACGGAGCGTCGGTTTGTGGTTAACCCAGAGCATGGTGGGATAATTTTATCAATGAAGTTGTGTTTACACCGGCACGCGCATGCCCAGTGTTGGTGAATGGTCACGTGATCCGCGTTTTCAGTCGTTTTAATGTGGACGGAGATCAATTCTAATACGCAGCTAAAACGCTGGTGTGGACGGAGATCGTATTCGTTTTAATTCTCCGTTTCTAAACTAAAACGCAGTAGTGTGGATGGGGCCTCAGAGGCCTGTTTAGACAAAGTCCAAGCAGATTTTAAAGCAGAACAATACATCTCTTCAAACTCCATCGCACAGAGTGTGAAATATTGGACTGCGACAACCCTGTGCTTTTATTCAAATGCTAAACTGACTTTTGTAAACGTTTCGATCTCACCGATAACTTAATACCATAAATGAGAAATGTAAGAAATCATATTCTACCTAACGTTTATGGTTTCTTCTCTTTCCATTTTACTGTTGCACAAGACGAAAAAAAAAAAATCAAAACGCATACAGTGAATAAGACTAAGCATTATTCCTATTATAATACAAGAACGTGAATGTGTACAAAATTGTTCCCATCGATTTTGGATACAAGATTCCTTAATTTTTCCAAATGGTTTGAATTTTCCTAAATGTTTTTGGTTTCCATTAAACTATATTTATTTAAAGATTCGCCAGTGAACAGAAGCACAAGAAATGCTTCAAGAGTATTGTTGAACTTCATGGGATCAATGTAGAACATGTAACATTATGAAAACCATTTGGCTCCATTTTTAAATTAATAAAAATCATAGACATAACTTTTTGTAAATATATTTAGAATTTTCTTTCGGTATCTCACATTTCGATTAAAAATCGATCCAATTTATGCATAGATTTGATTTAGTTTACGGTTTTATTTATTTTCCTATTTGACTGCAGAAGACAAGTTTAATAGATCTCGAAGAAAAGAAAATCTCGTTGAATTAAATAGGGTTGTAACGGTATGAGATTTTCACGGTATGATATTAATATCTCGGTATATGGTATTAAACAGTCATTATCATAATCATCATCAGCTGCAATGACCCTTAAATGAATGAATGCAGATAGGCTTTTTTGGTTGAACATATGGTTTATTATAACAAACTTTTTTAAATGAAAAAAATCAAATAAAATCGTAAGGAAGTATATGAGTCTACCTTTTGAAAAAATAAGAAAGCTGCACATCTCCCATTTGAACAAAATAAGGAATAAGTTATTTCTCTTTCGATTAGACAAGAATAAACCAAACTGTCCTTCCTCTTGAACAGCATAGATGGGAGAGCAAAAAGTCCAGGGGCATGTTTGTTAATATTTTCCTGAGATTATCATAGCGGCATAAATTAAAATAAATAAACTTATGAAATGCTCTTTAAGTTCTCTCAGAGCAGCTCTGGATGTGTTCATGTGTTCACGTCCTCGTATAGTGAGTGAGACGGCAGACGCTTTAAACACCATGAGCGTTACACATACTTGAGTATGTGGGCTACTAGGCGAAACGGCGCTGCTCATTCACACAGAACAAGAAGAATATAGCATATTTCAATATAGCAGGCTTTTGCGCTGTATATTCATAGACGCATTTAGCGATTTGATTTATTGCACAGGTATATTTTTTTACAATACGGCCTTAAGTTATAAATGCAATGTAACTTTATCTGCCCGGAGGGATGGTGTTCGTGAATTTGGGAGAACATGTTCGACGTACTTCCTGCTTTTGCAGCCACTCTTCGTCCACGTTTCTGGACACAACTGGATATCCATCTTCAGGGACAAACCGGCGTTCGTTTTTCGGATACCCAAAGTATTCCCACACTGCAGATTTTAACTTTTTTTTTCCCGGCGAGGGATAGAGATTTGAATTCGCAGCCTCTGTCTCAAGACATTTTCTCCGCTGTACATGTATGGGTCAAGTGGAAAGAAGTTGTATATGCGCAGGTGAGATCTGGTTTCATTTTTTCCCCCAAAACCGTGGATAAGCAAATGTTCACGATATGATAATCGTACATGTCAATATCGCGATAAACCGCCATATACCGTTACAACCCTAGAATGAAATGTAAACCTTGAAATGTATTGTTATTTTTCTTCCCCATTTTAGTCAACCCATTATTATAAAACAAATGTAATTTAAGCTGACTTGCAATCGTTACACACACGACTGGTAGTCTTCTGTAATAAAGTAAGGCAGCTTACTTGGTAAATAAATAAAATTCCTTGATACAAAAATAAAAACTTTTGCAAATATAACACTGGAAAATAAATCAACAATAGGCAAAATAAAATAGAAAAAAACACACAGATTAAATTAAGTTTTTCAGGTACAGTAGCCTAGGTTTATTTAGTCTAGCATGTATTAAGAAATACTACAGAAATTGAATCAAATGTAAAAAAAAAAAAAATAGTAGTCTTCACTAGATGGAATATAAATTGAGTCTTTACTGTTAAATATAAATGTATTCATAATGAAGATAGAAAAGTGATTTTCTGTTTTTTTTTTATTTTATTTTTTATTAAATTCACAAAACAGTCAGCAACAGTTTATTAGGCTGCTGTCCCTTTAAGAACAAATGCACAGATCTAATATAATGTTACACATCTGATTTGCTCCCAACTGTTTGTGTTCACGTAGGACAGACTGCATTTATGTCAATACTTAACATTTTTACATAATCATTTGTGTATTTGACCATTCAAGCACAATAAGCTGTGAACGAGAACTGAACTCGGGATCACATGCATCTTTGGCTGTGTCCGAAATACTTATTTTTTTACACTCCAAGCATCAATAACCAAGTAGTACTGCGAGGTTAAAGAAGTGTAAAACAGAAAATCGATTTCTTTAATTTGTGAATCGGCAGAAGATAGAATCGCAATTAATATGTGAATTGATTTCCCCCACCCCTAATAGATTTCAGACAAGATATTACTTTTATAAGATATATGTTAAATGTATATAATATAAAATACATATAATTGAGGATTCCATTATTTATTGCAAAGTTTTGGTGCAAAAAAATGTATTTTGTCGCAATGAAACTGCCATAAACAGGCCTTAAACGCAAAACCACGGCGCAGATCAGACACTAATGGCCTTGTTCCTGTCATCTAGTAAATCCGCTCATTTACGCCGAAGTCTTCAGGGTAAAACACGAATTCTAGATTAAGTTTGGCGATAACCGAAGTGATATATGGAAAAATTCTGACCATTAACTTCGCCTGTCTGCACTGCCGACAACACCTTCCATTTAGTGCTGCATTTCTCCCCGGCCCTTTCTCCACTGGCAGGCTAAATGTGAAAATCAAAGTGAATGACATTAGGTAAATAAGACAGCAGGTTGCCTTGGCAACAGGGACAACCCCCAATACCCATTCCTCTAGCCTACCCTTTACTTGCATCCAATTATAGGAAAGTAAGACTGGGTTATTGACAGATTGCCACAAACAGACCGTTGCACATCATTTTTGCACTGTAATTCCACATGAGCATGCTTGTTACAGAACCTGAGATGGATTCAAGCTGCAGGATATGACAGGAAAGAAACGAGAGAAACCATGGCACAAAGACAACGCCAACACCTCCATAAATATTTAATCATTTGTCAGCCTCTCGTTTGAGCAGAGAAAGCTGCAAATCTGCCAGAAAACTGACCACTGTGGATCTCCCGAGTTGAGATGCGAGAGCCGTTTCCTGTTTGGACTGGGATGGATTGTGTGGATGGGGTTCACAATGAGAAATGTAACAAAGCAACGGTGAGAGTGAAGCAAATACACTTGTTGCTAGTTCAAAGCTTTGAAATGCATTCAAGTGAGATTTCACACATTGTAAACATTGAATCCATTGCTATGACACTTAATGATCGCAGTGGGCGATACAATAAGACACCTGGAAAGCCCAGAGGAACCCTACTGACGCTAAAAAAAAAACAAAAAAAAGAGCTTGGGGACTCAATAAATTCAGACTGATGATTATTAAACACCTGTCTCTGCATATGGTCAATGCAGAATCAATACAGTGTAATGAAAAAGATCTCCTCGAAATGTGGGAGCTTGACGACACAAACCTGCACTGCATTGGCAGAGCAAGGGAACGACTTACCAGTTTTTTCTTTGATCTCGCATAAAACACTGAAGAGAGCCGGCTTCATTCTGTGGCAGTTCAGTGCGTGTTTTCTGGAAGAGAGAAGGAAAGCGTTAGAGAGAGACTGATTATATTTCATTTCAAACAGTGAAAGACCGACGTATCGATCAGCATTTGGCCAAGTTTGATCAAGTTTATTGGCATCTGTCGAACGCTGTGCCCAATTAACAAATTGCCCTTCTGTCCGTTTTGAAATCTACCAATAGCCTCGTCAATAAGAAATAAATCCGTAGAGGGAAATTCAAGGCCAATGATAGAGCCATTTATTTACATACTTTGTGTGTGTGTGTGTACGTGTGTTATTTCAGTGCCCGATTGGCTAAATAAATTATTCAAATAAGGTCATGGCACAAACGCTTCCACAAAAATGTTCCAAATACAATTTGCAAAATGCAGTTCCCCGTCTTCAACCACAATCTGGCATACTTCACAAACATGTGTCTACAACATGGCCAGTTATAAAGCTTTTCTACTTCATTTGATGAACTACCGCTGCCACGATCAATAGAAAACATGCACAAATCCATTTACCGATTGCATTTCGCACCTTATTAATGTATGTTTTTGAATTAGCCCAATAATGGCTTCACATTTTTGTGAATTTTGAGCATATATATTATCATGCAATATAAGTGTTCATCTCATTCGCCATCCTTTTTACATGTTTCATCGACTCTGCTCTCTAGCTATTGGTTGAGCATTGTTTTTAAAATACCAACCATGCAAGACATTAATGATTGATTCTTCAAAGTCTCAATTTAAAGCACACGTCGTTTCGCTGCCAAACAAACCAGAGGATTTATGTTTATTGAAGACATACCAACAACCTTTAACATTCGCAGCAGAATATGATTACAATCACAGGTGCAAACATCTACTCAGGAATCAATCAAGATGTAATGGACACACTAAAACTCAAGTCTTTTAAAAAGCTCAGCGTCTGTAGATTGAGAAGATACAGCAGCAGTCTCGGCTCACTCCAGCTAAATGAGTAACTGACACGTGGTCCTCATTTGTCTTCAGGGAAAAGCATTCCACCCTTTAATGGTATTATCCAGCCCTTTTTACACCCCGAACGTGCTTAATTTATCGAGCAGGTCTGGAGAATATCAAAACAAGTGAGGACCCTCTGTCTCGCAGAGGAAACATTCTTCTCAAAGCCAGAATCATATGTGCTAAATCCAATCATCGATCATTTCAGGGCAGTCTCCCATCAGCAAACTTTATTTCCAGGCTCGGTGAGCTCTGATGCCTGGGAAGCTTATCTACACGCAGCCAGATTTCAGCGCTACTGTATTAGAGAGCAGATGAAGCATGCTTTCCAGGAGCATCGTTAACCCCTAACAAATGCCAATAATCGAGGTGTTCTCGTTAAAGCCGTCCAACTAACAGCTGGGATTAAAATGGGCAAGAAACTGGTAAACCCACAAATCATGTGACACACGCTTCAAAATACTCTCGGCATTGCATATCAAAAAAAAAAAATGCACTGCATTTCGTAAAAATGTGGTTCTACAAAGCCCTCCAACTACCCTGAATAATCTTTTATGAGAAAGTCCTAAACTCTACACCACAACACTCGCTACCTAATATTGCAGTTGGCCGCAACTAAACAAAGTTAGATGTTTCCCTTTTGCTCCGAGGCAAACAGATAACGTGGGAAATCCCAAAAAAAGATTGTTTTTTGTGGATGAGGCCTTATAGCTGATGACACACAGTGCAACTCATTGGGTAATTTTGTTGGAAATGGGCAACGGCACAAGCTTGGGCAATGCTGAATCGGTTACTGTTGATTAGTTAGCTTGTCTTATCACATTGCCTACTTTCCAATTGTCTTGTGTATCATCCAACTTGAAGTAAATCTGAAGTTTGCTCAGCTTCCAAGACTTCATTCGCTGCCTAAAATGTTCTTTGTTGGCTTCGATGGGTCCACACCCAAATATTTCAGGTATGTAGGATTCAATGCAAGAGGCACAAACATTTAAAGACATGAGGTGGCAAAAATAGATCGCTGCGTCTTATTGTGGGTTATTTCTTTTTGCAAATGAGCAAGACAAACACAAAAACATCAAGGAATCACAACTGATAAGTGCAAACAGAAACCTAAACTCGTGTCAATGGATGGGTGATCATGAAAAGACTTAACTGATGCAACCAAAATCTTTCCTGGGATGTGACATGGGGATGGAGATCTTTTTTATCAATTGTATTATGTGAAGTCTGTGGTGGTCAAGAGCGTTTGGTTCTCTTGGCCTGAGAGTGGGTGAATATATGTGGCTTTTATACAAACTAATCTTAAAACGAAAACCATCTCATGAGGTGTTTTGAGTTTGCTTAACTTTAAGTCTGAGGTGTCCATCGCTTATAAAGCACAAAGCGCTTCAGGTTCACTTTACCTCCTCATGCACATAATCAGAAATATTTTGGCCATTAAAGGTTACTATACAAAGAGAATGATGACATGCAATGAAACAAACAAGGAGATAAGTCACTTATTCTCATTTCTAGAGATAACGAGGGGCATATTTTAAATCTATTGTAAAATAAACAGAAAAAGAAACGTTTTAATTTAGTTTCCTGTGAAATTTAGGCATAATCTGAGCTGCCTTTATAATTGAATATTATATTATTCAATTTAATAAGGATATAATAAATGAAATATAATTGTTTTGATATAATCAAATTGATTAGCCTATAATAAAATATAATAAAAAAAAAATAAAAAAAAGTCAATAAAACATTCAAGTGGTTATTGAACAGTAGACTAATCACCACTAAAACAGCCCCGACTAAAAGCCCATTTTTAGGGCCAGGGACAACGTGAATGCAAAAAAGAACTTGATTCACATTTTGGTCTATTCAAAAGGGTCCGAATTTGGTTCTTTTAAGAAGCAATCGCATAATTAAAATAAAAACAAAAGGTTTAGCCCCACTGAGATTTTTGAAATCAATGACTGAAGTGCTTCTTTAACTGTATGAGAGTGCATTTTTCTCTTTGTCATCAACATGGAGGGGATGATGGGGGAGAGAAGAGGAGGGGGTGCTCATGCGCTCCTGTACTGACCTGTGCTGGAAGTTGAGCGGCAGGGCACACCCTGCTGTGCTCCCCCCCAGCTCCCCCTCCCTCTGTGGGGTCCACTGCGCCGGTGCCTCCTCTGGCCAGCATCTGGACACAGGGCAACAGGGTGAGAGGCTGAGGGCGGCAGGCACAGACAGCGCTGGCATCTGCCCCCACCGTCCCGCCGATGACATCCCACCCCATACACCCCTTAAACTGGGACCAGAGACCCCCCACAGTAAATAATGCAGATCAAGAGAAGAATAGAAAACAGAAATCAAGTACTGTGGCACATGATAATGGAATCAGAACAAGTCTGATTTTTGCCAAAAAAAAAATGTTCAAGATGTCGAAAACAAAAACCTGGGTAACAAAACAATAACTAGTGAGTGCAAAGTCAAAGAAATCGCAGAAATCTCACATCTATAAATAACACAAACCTACTTAAATGAATTAGGACGTATATGCATGAAAGTGCTTTTATAAATGCTTAACTAGCTCTTTTCTGATTGATGTAATCTAGCCAATCAATTCAATTGACCTTATCTACCAATGCAAAGCAAGTCTTGTGCATTACATTTATTTTTGAACATGCAATGAATAAGCAATCCAGACAGAACCACGTCCTCGTGCCTCCACTCAGCAAATAATGCAGGTTTGGGACACATTATACTAATTAATTTAAGAGGCATTGTGATGAGCCACAAATCCATTTAATGAGATACCACAACCGTGCATATTTCATTAGTATCAAATAAAGGAAATCTGTTTATAAAAGAGAGAGAAAAAAGAGAGCAATATGTCTTATAATGTCCAAGATTGCTGACCGCACTATAGGTACAATCTCTCTGAAGCGGAGTAAAGCGCTCCACTCCGCAAATGAAGCTGGCTTATCTGCCCTAAAACCATCCCGCACTTGACAAAATAATAATGCATATTTCTCTCAGGTATCTGAACTATTTCAGGTCTGTGCGGAAGCACCGAAGGGCTTTTTTTGCTTCATAACTGAAGGTGGCAAGGGCTTATACTCAAGAATAACTGTAGAATATCAGTGACAGAGAAGAAGTGACTAAAGAGAAAATGCATTTACGTCCATCACTAACCATATCTGGCATTATGCTTAAAGGAATAGTTCATCAAAAAAAAGAAGAAGTTTCTGTCATTTACTCACCCTCATGTCAATGAGATGCTTTGAACAATGTTTATTTACACCGCCTTTTCCCATGCGATTCAAAAACCTTCCCTTTTCCCCCAGCTCTCAAATTTGATTCTGCATATTTAAACTTGCCATTTCATGACCAGCAATGAAAGACAAGAATTAACAGAGTTTGGCATCATTAACATGACGCATGCTGTGACACATGCTTCATGCCAGTTTGAAGATGCAGACGTTCCAGATTTGAGAACATTTTTGCAATTTACCTTTCAGTAATAGGATAGCATCTGCATAGACTAAGGAGGCATTTCTACCTAATTTCTAGCTTTTAAAAAAACTATTTTGTTATCTTTATTGGGTACGATGACGATCCTTGCAACAAAAAACAAAACAAAAAAAACAATACTCTTAAATTGGACATTTTCAGACTCCCCTTACTTCAAAAATAGTTTCATGTTATACGAATGAAGGGTATTCCTTCTTTTGAGCCTAACTTTTAGGCCTACATTTCAAACTGCAAGTCTGCATAATGTACCTTTATTTTGTATTATGGTAAAAACTAGGACAAAATATTGATAGGGCGATATATCGATGTCCTTCTCTGCGATACGAGAATCGATACGCTGCCGCCAAATATCGATATTTTAATGAATAAAATAAGGCGCTCTAACTAGAGCTAAATAGTGTCGCTACTTCATGGCGCTCAACACATGAATGAGGGAAACGTGAACATAAGTTAACTAGCCTACGAAAAAGAGTTTGGCGGACAGCAGTGCGAGTAAAATAAAAGATGCCCTAGCCACATTTAACACACTCCTGCTTTTATACCATTGATGGGACAAACATGTTGTAAATAGACATCTTTGACGCTCTTTACCGAGCACTTACACAGATGCACACAGGAGTGTTTGTACATTTTGTTGGTAAATATTTAAATGTACCACCAGGTTTATATAAAACAATAAGTCGATAAGCAGGTAAAGGTGTAAGTTTACACACAAAGAAACGTTTAAGCTTTTAAAAAGTATAAGCATAAAATGTTTAATTTACTTAATGTTAAATTTAATTTACAGACTGAAAAACTTGTTGGACTTAAGTGCAGGTTTTCTCTCTTTAACCTTTTCACAGTTATTATGTTTTCATAGTCAGACAGATGTCGTATCATTATAGGATCGTCTCGCAATATATCGATTATCGCGGAATTGCTGTATCGTGATACTATCGGTATCGTGAGCCATGTATCGTATCGTGAGGTACCCTGTGATTCCCACCCCTAGTAAAAACGTAGACAATTATATTTTTGGCTTTAATAAAACCAATTAATTTGGATGTTATTACAAGAAGCATCGTTTTTAGGCATCCATGACAATTTTGGAGAGTTTGAAATCTCGGTCTGTTCCTCAAACAAAGCAATATGACTTCATGAGACTTCGAGATAGAGCACAGGTCACATTGACAACATTTATTATTACTTTATCATTTTTTGAGCTTGATGGTCACCCCGTTCACTTTCATTACTTTGCAAAAAAGCAGCCAGGACACTCAGCAAAATGAAAAAGTAATTTTTAGGTGAACAATTCCCTATTCCTTAAGACTGCTGATTGCTTGATCTTCAACCAAATACCTAAAACAGTCATGCACAACATCATCATTCAACTCATCAGTCTTTTGTACAAGGGAAACAAAGTCACTACACAATATCGCCCAAGAAATGCGGTATAGATAGATATAAAGGCAATTTCGCTGGGTTTATAAGTTGCACGAGTAGCGACCCTCCATCTCATTAATAGAAACTCAATTTGAGGACAGCTGCACACGCGCACGCATTATAGGAGAATTGATTGCGCCCAACACACAATGAAAAGGATGAACACCAGGGAGGAGGAGGAGGGTAAAAGAGAAGTGAATTAATTAAGAGAACCAGGTGGTCAAATGGCTTGGTGGAAAATCACAAGCTAATGACACATCACAGGGCATTCGCGCACATATACGATCCCTCATTAAAAGGCAGCTTTTGTGCGGGATCTGTGGCTCGGGTTGACCTTTCAACAGATCGCAGGTCACAGCGCGCAATCTAGCGATCCATAAGAGATCAATTTCACTGCGGTCAATAGAAATACACTGAACTGTACCCGAGGAGGATCTGCGGGTAAAGGCGGGAAAGTCGTCAATCCTGTCGGGTGTTTTCGTCTCGAGGTTAAGTCTGACACTGTTTGACGGGGATGACTTAATTAAGCGCGCGCTGATTATCTATGCTAATGACGAGGTAGCACATTAATCCAATTCATTTATCTAGTGGGGCCTCAATCTGGCAGACGCACGCTGAAGACCAAATGGCTTCACAGAGCCCATGGGCTCCTGATAACAAACATATTGGTTGACCTCTAAAACCTTTTTTGGCCCCATTTAGCAAAACCAGAGGAGGGGAAAAATACTTGGATCCTTAGGTTTTAGTAATTATAGTCCCATTATCCATTTGGAGCATATTTAGTGCATTGTTTGAGTGGAAACCAGTGGAATTACAAACACAAGGACTCCTAGTATTAAAACTTTAAACTTTTTCGTTATAATAACTTTCAATGAGAAAGTTCGGATTGCTCATAAACCGATCATTTAAAGCATTTACATTTATTCGTGACTTAAGATTCATTTAGAACTCAACAACTTGAAAAGGTAAAATCAACAATGTGGTAATATATTATTAACACACTTTTTTCCCCCTATTAATTCACTAAGTTCTAGTGAGAATATGCGCAAACGTAAATTAAGAAAAGTATTAGTATAGTTTTCTTTAATGCCATGTCAGCATCTGTGGCTACATTCATGGCAAAAACTGAATTACAAAAAAATTCAAGAGTTGCATATACACAATAAAAACGAAAACCAAGCAAACGGGAAAAAAAAAGATTTTACACAAGATTTATAACATTAACATGATTAAAAATTCTAAAACCTTATCAAGTAAAAAATATTACTAAACAAGTCCTTAAGTGAGCTTACTTAATACAAATGTGTTCTACTTGCATTAAAAAAGGGACAGTGCAATAAAATATTATTTAAATTAAGAAAAGGTGCAAGCCATTTTATCACATACGATTTTGAATAGAAAAAAAATATCCGCTATTTAGATTGACTGTATTTAAAGCAATGAGGTGTAGATTGTGTCCAGCTGCTGTTCCACACTATCTATCTATCTATCTATCGAGAGCGTCCACACTTGTCCTCCTCCTCCTCTCACAGGTCTTACCTCGCCTGGGCTTCGTCGAGGCTCTCGTCGGTGATGGCCATGATCTGCTGGAGAATATCCCCTATGTCTTGCTGCGGTTGACCGAGGGACTGCTGCTTCCGAACCGAATCGGGGTCACCCACGTCGGCTTGAGAGAGTCCGCCGAGTCCGCCCATGCTAGCCAGCATTCGGGTCTGTTCATCCATAATACTTTAAAGCCGAATCTCGCCGTTTCCCCAACCGCAAACCAATGAAAACCAGTATCAGCGATCTGTCTTGGTGACCATGTACCACCAGCAGCGTGAATACAAACGTGGAGCTCAAGGAATCACTAACGTTAGATAAAAAAAACAACGAGAGCGCGACTGGAATGTGGGATTTAACCACATCAAAACGATGCGCGATTGATGGGAAAAGGTGAGTAACTAGTTTGCATGGGGGGAAAAAAAATCAGACCGCGTGCAATTCCTCCAAAAACCAGTATTGTCTAAAGCAAAACGCTGCACACTAGCACTCCCATAAAGCAGTCTAACAAGAAAATAAAAGCGTCCCTGGAAACATGAAGTATCCCACGCGCGGCATCTCAAAGTATCGCCTCTCTAAACAACTCGCAGTCCGCGATAAAACCATTCATGTCAACAATCTGGCTTTTCGTCAAGAGGCTGTTGTCGCTGACAGCTATTACAGTAGAAATCTCAGACACTACTAACAAGCTGGACTAAACCAACCAGAGCGGCTAACAAGCTAATAGAGAGGAGGAAAAAAAAAGTCCCTGCTTGAAAATAAATCGAAATAGAAACTCAAGCGTTCGCTTATTAACGTCCCCTCACTTAGGAAAAAGACAAAACTCAACGGTCAAAACGAATCCCGAGAGCAGCGGACGAACGCGACCGCTTTTACACGTAAATCCGAGATCTCCGACACAATTGATTCGCAGTGTTGGCTAGCTGCTTAGCAGCGGAGCTAACTAGCATTCGAGCGCTGCTAGCAACAGATTCACACGGGCTCCGCGAACCCCCGGGACCAACAGCAAACTGCCCCCGAAATGCCCCGGCTTTTTAGGTGGACGGCTCGAAACGGCTCAGAACGGCAACGCTCAGCTCCATGCCAGCCAACTCGACACAGTTGGTTTGTTCCCCAAGCCGCGGTGCTGTCGTAGAAAAAAAAAAACTGCCCCTCTCTTGTGTTTCTGCCCTCCTCGGCGGCTCTTTTCTCCCCCTCTGAGCGAGCGCACCACTGCGCGCGTTCACGCTACTACACACGAGCGCGTACGTCATCATCGCGCACAAAAGAGCCGCTACTGTGTGGAGCCTCTAGGGGCGCCAGTGACGCGCACGCACGCGCCTAAGCAAGTAAACAACTTGCGCGTCTCTTTCAAACAGACCGCATGCTGTAATTTCATCATGTAAGTGGCTTTTGTATAGTTACCATAGCTGAACTATGGCATTTGTACGTTTAAGCGCATAGTAACCAGAGGTGAAACAATGGCTGGCGCCTAATTGCTGTGCTTTGATCTGTGTAGCTGTGGTTTCTGTTACACAAGCCCTGGAATTTTGATAATTACAATTTCATAGTTGAATTAATTAATCTAAATGGATTCAGTTCACTCCCTTCTTCCCCTAATAGGTTACATTTAGAATTAATCTACAACATTTCTGCTAATAATTACAGCATTACTGTAGTGAAACCATGGTAAGTTTATGTAAGGGTGTTCCAAGAAATGTTATAGGGAAGAACCTGCAATATATGGAGACACTTATAGGGGTTAAGTTTTATGGATTTTTTTTTTATTTTTATCAATTAAACAGCTCGTAATCACACTTTATCACTAGAACAAATTTAAATAACCCATTGATCATGAAAGTTCAAATGAGTAAAGAACCCTAGTGTTATAAACCTCCAGTGATGAAGTGTCCACTTTCCATAATCAGCATTTCAGTGTATGTTACAAAGCATAATTAACCCTTAATTGTGACTGAAATGCCTCTGTTCAAAACATTTCACAAAATATTCCATTACTCAAATGAAATAGCTGGAAGATGCAAATCAAAAACATAGGCCTGTCTGAATGGTTGTACAACCAACATTCAGAATGTTTGATAGTGCTGCCAGTATTGAGGGAAACGCATTACAAGTAACATAATGCATTACTTTTAAATGTACAACAAAATTTAAGTTACTTTTTTAGTTACTTTTTCAAATAAGTAACGCAGGTTTTCTTGTTTCTTGACTGACACCTCCTCTGTCCCCATGTTGAGTGAAATCAGGAGATGCGGAGGCGTTCTGTGTGAACATGATGGTTGTTGTAGACTAAATGTGAGCATTTACTCATCTCACTTGCACAAAAACAGATTCAGAATTCCTATAAATGAACAAAATGAACAGTGAAATCCAAACTCAGAAGATTATGCAAACCTGCAATGGTTAAATATATTAAATAACACAAATATACTTTATGTATTTAATCTCACTTTATCAACCAATGTCTTTGCTCCTGACCTTCGATGATCCGCAATTCACCATAATAATAAGCAAAAATGACTTTAGGTAAACATCACATTTGTTTCACACTTTCTTCTGTGATCCAGAATGGCAGCACAGCTAAAAGGTCCAGCCTGATGCTTATTCATGTCACTTTTGGTCTCAAAGGGCGTTTAAATCTGCCAAAAATATAACTTTTTTGCAATTAAAAAACAGGAGAGCCCAGCCCAGGTGAGAAAAGGTAACGTGACAGTCTCGTAACAACACATTACTTTGCATAAAAAGTAATGTAGTTAGTTACCTTTTTAGGGAGTAACGCAATACATTACTTTTATTTTCCCCGTCTTTGGGTAAATTGGGAGCTACTGGTGCACTCAAAAAAAAAAGCCTGTAGAAATAGGGTCCAAATGTATGGAAGCTTGTTTCCGCCACTGAATAAAAAAAATAAAAAAAAATAATAGCGCCTTTTTATCTCACAATTGCGAGATATGAAGTCAGAATTGTGAGAAATAAAGTTGCAATTGCGAGATATAAAGTCGCAATTCTGAGAAATAAAGTCACATTTGCGAGATGTAAAGTGGCAATTGCGAGAAAAAAGACAGAATTGAGACTTTTTATCTCACAATTCTGACTTTTTTTCTCACAATTGTGAGTTTACATCTCACAATTCTGACTTTATAACACATAATTGCGAATATATATCTCTAAATTCTGACATCTTTTCTCAGAATTGTGAGATATAAACTCGCAATTGCGAGTTATCAGGCCATTTCTAAGAATAGTTTATATCTCACAATTCTGACTTTACAACACGCAATTTCGACTTTATATCATGCATTTCTGACTTTATAACACGCAATTGCGACTTTATATCAATCAATTCTGACTCTATATCGCGCAATTCTGACTTTTTATCTCGCAATTCTAACTTTATAACACGCAATTGCGACTTTATTTCACGCAATTCTGACTTTATATCTCGTAAATTCTGACTTTATATCTCGCAATTCTGACTTTATAACACGCAATTGCGACTTTATTTCACGCAATTCTGACTTTACAACACACAATTGCGACTTTATATCAATCAATTCTGACTTTATATCGCGCAATTCTGACTTTATATCTCGCAATTCTGACTTTATAACACGCAATTGCGACTTTTTTTCACGCAATTCTGACTTTATATCTCGTAAATTCTGACTTTATATCTCGCAATTCTGACTTTATAACACGCAATTGCGACTTTATTTCACGCAATTCTGACTTTACAACACACAATTGCGACTTTATATCAATCAATTCTGACTTTATATCGCGCAATTCTGACTTTATATCTCGCAATTCTGACTTTATAACACGCAATTGCGACTTTTTTTCACGCAATTCTGACTTTATATCTCGCAATTCTGACTTTATAACACGCAATTGCGACTTTATTTCACGCAATTCTGACTTTATATCTCGTAAATTCTGACTTTATATGGCGCAATTCTGACTTTATAACACGCAATTGCGACTTTATTTCACGCAATTCTGACTTTACAACACGCAATTGCGACTTTATATCAATCAATTCTGACTTTATATCGCGCAATTCTGACTTTATATCTCGCAATTCTGACTTTATAACACACAATTGCGACTTTATTTCACGCAATTCTGACTTTACAACACGCAATTGCGACTTTATATCAATAAATTCTGACTTTATATCGCGCAATTCTGACTTTATATCTCGCAATTCTGACTTTATAACACGCAATTGCGACTTTATTTCACGCAATTCTGACTTTACAACACGCAATTGCGACTTTATATCAATCAATTCTGACTTTATATCTCGCAATTCTGACTTTATATCGCGCAATTCTGACTTTATAACACGCAATTGCCACTTTATTTCACGCAATTCTGACTTTACAACACGCAATTGCGACTTTATCAATCAATTCTGACCTTATATCGCGCAATTCTGACTTTATATCTCGCAATTCTGACTTTATAACACACAATTGCGACTTTATTTCACGCAATTCTGACTTTACAACACGCAATTGCGACTTTATATCAATAAATTCTGACTTTATATCGCGCAATTCTGACTTTATATCTTGCAATTCTGACTTTATAACACGCAATTGCGACTTTATTTCACGCAATTCTGACTTTACAACACGCAATTGCGACTTTATATCAATCAATTCTGACTTTATATCTCGCAATTCTGACTTTATATCGCGCAATTCTGACTTTATAACACGCAATTGCCACTTTATATCAAGCAATTCTGACTTTATATCTCGCAATTCTGAGAAATAGGCTAAAGTCAGAATTGCGAGATGTAAACTCGCAATTGTGAGAAAAAAGTCTGAATTGTGAGATAAAAAGTCGCAATTACATTTTTTATTTTTCATTCTGTGGCGGAAACAAGCTTCCATACAAATGTACTGTTAATATGAAGGAATTTTCCATATTGATTTTTCTCATGGGTTGGTTTCGCTGCATTTGGAATTACGCATTGCTTTTGTCCTGCAGCCAAAAAGGTTTGGTTACTAACATTCTTCAAAATATATTCTTTTATGTTTCGCAGAAGAAAGCAAGTCATACAGGTTTAGAACGACATACAGAATGGGTGAGTAAATGATGACAATGTTTATTTTTTGGGTGAACTATCCCTTTAAAATATGTTGTGACAACATTAAAGTTCTGTGGTTTATTGCAAAAACGTAGGTTTTTGAACCGCATCATGTACAAGAAATGCTTCAAGGAACTGATAAGGTTTAAAGTCCCCCTGTGGTGAAAATCAAGCTTTTAATGTTGTTTATATTTCTATGTGGTGTTTTTAATGTGCTTTAAGACAAACCATGAGAAAATTCATAAGTCGACACCATTGCTGAGTATTTCTAAAAATTGCAGTGAACCAAAGACAGTCTCAAAAACACGGTTTGAAATCGCTAGTGTTTCTGACGTCACACACTACCTTGTAACCAATCACATCAATGTCGTCAACGAGTGGATCTCTGAGCTGGTGTGAGTGAGTGGAGGCGGGGCTAATTTGCATATTCATAGAAACGCGTATACTAAATGAGGCAAGGGTGTAGAGTTACATTCAAGCTATTTTAATTTTTTTTTCAAATTTAAATGCATTTAAAATTACGTTAAGAAACCGATTGGGTTGGATTTCTAACTTTTAAATTGAATCTAAATTCAGTTAATGTGTAGATTAATTAAGTTTCACAAAATGTAGCCTAAGAAAATGGTGGTTTTTAAATTCATATGTTAAAAGGATTGTTTTTGGAGAAAAGAGTTCAATAAAATAAAAATGCTTTCAAAAAGTTAAAAGCTTATTTTCTTGATTACAAAGTAAAGTTAAATGAACCTATTAATTATCTAATAATATTTTCATGTCTGTCCATATAAACGCCTAAGTATAACATTCCTTATTTAAATCAATGTGTTTTAGCTAGTGCACGGACAGACCAGATTAAAAATAAGTGGTCCCAATTTTTTTTTGCAAACGTGGACGTTTTGGGGCAGTTCATCACTCAGAGAGAAAAGACAGGCTTCTCAGACGAATGGCTGCTGGGAGAGACTCAGCCTGGAGCATTTCAATGGGAGTTTGATGATGTGTGTGCAAAGAGAGGAATGGGACAAAAGTGGTCCTGGTTTATGCTGACGCGTAGCGGATCTCTCGGCTACAATCTAACACTAATCAATCTGAAGTGAGAATGAGAATATTAGAGAACAAACTGTAACCT